AAAACAAAACAATACGAATAAAACTTGCGCCATAAAATGCGAGAATTATTGAGTCTCTCGCAAATAGCAAAACTTTTGATTCTCTTTTAGGAAATCTCTTAATAATCCTTTCATCTAGAAAGTGTTCCAATTTCAGCAAAGAGCGATAAACTCCATTTGTGTGCTGTTTGTTTTGCCAACGGCGTTTGTTTATAGCTTCTTTAGTTTTTAACTATCTTCAATGTTGTTTTCTATATTGTTTTACGATATCTTCATATGAACAACACGTTCCTGACAAACGACCCAATTAACCGGAATTCCAATACATTATTTGTGTACACAACATTTAACCGGCTTAGTTGGTTAGAAAAGAATTGAAGCTTAACCCGAAATCAACTTGTATTAAAAATGGTTAGGTTCTAAAAGAAATATGAAAAACCTTTTCTAAGTGTTCGATATTGAGCTTAAGATGGGTTGAGTAAATATAAAATAAATACGGAAAATTCAAGAAATGTACTAAATAAATATACCATATATAGAGACAAATTGTGTAATGTTTGGCTTGAACCGAAAAACATTTTCTTTGATTTGAAGCCCTGATGCCAACTGTATAATAGGAGTAAATCATAATATATATATACATATGCTGAAGTATATAAAAGTATCTTCGTCATGAGCAGCAGAAACTAATTGGGAAACTTTTGGTTGACAGCAGTTGAAGAAGAATAGCAAAAATAATCTATAAAACGTGGATCACATGTCAGTTCTGCAAATAATTAATCTTTTCACATTTGACAAAACGTTCCAACTGATTTATAATACTTGTATTTTGCTTTCAGCCGCACGTTCTTTTTGTTTAGTAATCAGCGAAGCGTTCAAATCTCTGACTAATCCCCAGCTGACTCTCGCCATGGGTCTAGTTTCTTCTCTGAACGTGGGCCGAACACGCGCCAATTTATAGGCTTTTCTAATGATGTACAAAATCTTGTTCTATTTTCAGACTTTTATGGCAAGCACTAGCGGGTATTCCCCGGCCTTGCCCGTGTCAAGTTTTTTGCGTAAAATTTTGATTCAGCAAGTTGTCTTTTGGGGAATCTTAATTCCAATTCTATTTGAAAATATGTTTAAAGTGCATCTAATAAAGAACCAAATTTGGATTCAGCGGTTTCAGTTAATGAATCTTCAACCCGAAAAATATATCTACGTTCACCAAACGGTTGATGCGCATTTCACATCCAAGAGAATCCAAAAGAATTTGCGAGAAAACATTTAATACATTTTTACAAAGATCTTTGAAAATAATTATGAAGCGGATCCGATGGTAAGTAAAAGCAAGATGCAAATTTTAATGTAAACTTCCAAGTTGCGGGTGGAATTTCCAAAAACGCTGAAACACATATTCGTAAGTCATAAGGAGGTCTGCATTTACGAAAAGTTTGAAACAAATGGTAAAGGTAAAATAAATTTCATTGAAAATCGATCCTTAAAAATTATTTTGGAGCCGATCAGATCATAATTAACAATCTTTCATACGAACGACTTTCGACAATTTAATTGCGCTGAAACAAGAAATCATAAAGTTCTTATACAAAAAATCGTTGATCCGCTTCTTCCATAGAGAAAGCTTAGATTCGGCAAAAAGTGTGAAGGACTTCTCAAATGATTTTTCATACAATCTTAGATATGTATTTGAACTCGAAAAATTGACCCACCAAATCTTTAACCCCCATTTTCACCAAGGAGTGATAGATTTTCCAAAAAGTGTGAGACATCCCTCGAATGAAACTTAACAAAGATCTTTGAAAATGTTTTTGAGGCCGATCGGATGGTAATTAAGAAGTTGCGATTTTTCACGATTGACTGACTGACTGCCTAGTCAGAGATAAGTATGTTTCCTTTAGTATATTGAAAAGAAATATGTACATATATTAATTTAAAACAAACATATTTTGCATGTAAGGAACATAAATATTTACAAACAGTTTTAGCTTTTATTTAACAAATACTAGTTTTTTTTATAAGCTAGCTAATGCTAACCTCTTAAACATGCTGCAGTTAGGTGTTCTGAGAAAAGATACCCTAGATACCCCGCCGAGTCACTTTTTTACAACTCTAACATTTGTTATTCCTTTGAAGAATTTGTATAGTATGGAAGAGTCTTGAGTGTTCAAATCTCTGAGAATGAAGAATTCGAACTGTCAGATGACAGACTGTTGCATAGTTTCCATAATTAAAGGCTAAACGAATTGGGTTTTGGGCTATTAAAAACTTGACTATTCGCTTCAATAAATTGTTCAAACATAATCAAATCTTTAACTGCGTACACAACTATAGGGATCCGGATGGTTGCGAGCGGACCTCCTGACAAACTTGGACGGCACATAAAAGTAATTTCTAGCAAACAAATGGAGCGCCGGTCTGCTTGAGTGGCTGGGACGAGGTTATAAATGGGGTTGACTGATTTTTGTCTCCTTGAGCTTGGCGCGTAATTAAATTCCATGCCAGGCGGCGGGTTCCCGGAGGGAGGGAGAGAGGACCCAAAATGCTGGCTCAAGTGAGCGTGTTGGTAATGAGTGGGCGGTGCCGGGTGGGTGGTGCTGGCCCCACCAAATTTATCAAGTAGCCAAATATTTGCTCTAATTAGTAAAATTGGACACGTTCTGTGGATGGGGCACCTGCGGGTGCCAGCTCCTCGTGCTGGATTGTTGACTGATTGCCCCAAAAATGGTTTGTCCTCTTCGATTTGGGGCCTCTCATTAAATGCTGCTGGTCAGGGTGGTTCCCTGCCCGAAAATTAGCTAAAGACAGTAAATGCCAATCGCGTGCCCCGAAATGTACTTGAACTGTTTTGTTTGCCTTGGCATTGTTTAAAGCGATTAACGCTTAATACTCTGTTGATTGGTAATTGTCTTCGCATGCAGATTAAGTAATTTACATAGCCCTTGCCGCGCCATGTTCACAATTAAATAACACCCCTAGTTGCCCCATCCAAAGCTCCAATATTTGGGTAATATTTAGTATTAAGAAAGCGTGACACACAAAAACTTTTCTCCGAAATTTCAGCTCGTTAACTGCACGCCAAGCGCACTCCTGCTTGGGGCTATTAAGTTGGCTTTGTTTGTCTGAGAAGAAGGATAGTCTATTATGCATACTCCTGCCCAGGTCACTTAGCAGAGGTCCTAGTGGAACAAAACTACATGAGTAATTATTCTTGGATAGCCCAAAATGATTCGAATATGAGAAAACTGCTGCCCTTATGGACATAAGGCGGAAGGGCTTGAATGTGTGAGGAGAATAAGTATTAAGATATCTTGAAAAACAAAAATGTGTTTTATATCAGAACTCAACTTTCGAGCGATAAATTCCTTAACAGCTATATTGACAGAGTGATCCAGATGATTCCAGCGAACAAGGATTGTGAATTTAGGCCCAATCATCGATAATTATGAGTTGTAGCTTTTTCCGTCTCCATTAAATCTGGCTCCATATGGAGCTAGTACGTGAGAAACTCTTAATACACGAGCTTTTCTAAACTCGATTCATGACCTGAAAATTTAATAAAAATCGGACAATAAAACGGAACTTATTCATCAATAAATTTCCTTTAGTACAGAGCGTCTGTCGTAAAATAAGCATTTGTTCATTCAACCTTTGACCCGCAATTATCATTCAGGAGGAGTGAATTTTGCGAACAATGCGTAACCCCTATCAGAGATATTCAAAAAGAATTTGGTGGCAATCGGTTGATAATTAAAAAACTTTCATGCAAAGATTTTAAGCCAATATATCAGTTGCGGATGGAGTTTTATAAATCGATGAAATTCCTTTTAAGTTTTTATGAAGGGATTCGAGAATAAGTTTGAAGTAAATCGGACAATACTTTAAATCCCATTTTCACAGTGAAAGCTTCGATTTTGCAAAAACAGATTTCCACCAAGGTGGATTTCGCGAAAAGTGTCAAACATCCCTCAAATGAATTTGAACAGAGATCTTTGAGGTCAACCGGAGAGTAAACCAAAGATATATATATATAAATTATTTTCGCGAAAACAAGTGCACTTCCATCATATAAGGTAACTACAGTGAAAATGTGAGTAATCCCTTACAGTGCCAGGGCAAAGCATTGGAGAAATACAAATCGGCTCTTAAAAAGACCGATGAATGTTTCAAAAAATTATAAAAGGTTGAAACTCCTGTTGTTCATAATAAACTGTGCTGATTAGCGCAGCTTTTATACACCCTAAAAAAAGGGTATAATGGTTTTGTGCAAATGTATGTAACAGGCAGAAGGAAGCACCTCCGACCCTAGAAAATATATATATATACTAAATTAGCATTAATAGCCCAGTTTATCTAGTCATGTCTAGTCTAGTCTGTTCCGTTTGTACGTCCGTACGTGTGTATGAACGCGTCAATCCTATATAACCTATATAAGCTAGAGAATATTTAAACGAAGGTCCTCGTAGTGTCCGCCCAGTATGAGCTTGTTTCTAATCATCGATGACTTGCCTCATTTCCAAACAGTTGATAAAAATCAATATCGAGTCCTGTTTTTGAACAAATCTCTTGGGCATTAGAGCTAGAGTCAGCAAATTTGCCATGTCGCTTCTAATAAATTAGTAAAAATCAAATATATATTTAATTTTATAGCAATCGCCACCCCATCGCGTCTGCCCCATTGCTATAAATCAAATAAATATCGATTGGAACTACATACAAATTTATGCCACAACTTTAATGCTGTTTCCCTTGGGAGAATAAACGAATATTCTATAGCACTTATAGATCTTCTTCTATAAATTAAATCAAGATCCCATCAAGATCCAAACACAGAAGTAATTAAATAAAACTTGTGGTTAAATTGGTTAAGTGATACATTTTTTTATCAAATCTGGACTTGGTATGGCTGTGAGGTATGGTATAACTATGTTACAGGGAACTAACTTATTTTTATAAAAGTCATTCTAAACCATTTAAGCTGTCGGAGTCGTTCTATCACTATGGACTAGAAAGCAATTTTATTCTGTTTACTGTTTTCCTTTTATTATATAAATGATGTAAGACCACAAAGTGGACACGTAAATTCGGTTTCAGTTCGTCTAAAAGTGTGCAAAGTTAAATTATAAGGTTTATAAGTGAGCCAAATGCGTTTAGTTAGGGTTGAGGGACATTCTTTTTAAGAGCTGATCCCGGTTGACCTAATTCAAACCGAAGTAAGAGCTGGTTGCGGCAAAATGGGCTACTTATCACTTTTATTTCTCGTCGGTGTCAGCAGCGTATGTTGGTCTGTTTTAATATCAATTTCTTACACAAATTCAGCGCAATAATTTACAGATTTGCCTAACTGAAGGTCAGCAGTTGGACAATTCGAGCGAATTAATGTCACAGAATAAAACCGAGCAGTTGGAGAATTCGAGCGAATTAATGTCACAGAATAAAACCGAGCCACGCACAGCTCTCTTCGCATCACTTTCGATGGAAATATTTGTAGGTTTCAAGAAAAACTTGGAGCAGAGTAAAGACGATATAGTCAAATGCGAGGGAGTTCTGGAAAATGGCTTGAATATATTAATTCAAAAACTCGAAGACTTGATCAACTCCTGCGAAGCCATCATCAATTCTTGTGTGATCATCTGCGGCTTGGCAGCGCTGGCCCAAATTCCGATGATGCTTATCAAAATAGTAGATTCCTTGATTTGTACGGCTGGTTTGCCGCCCGTATCACCGTGTAGGAAACAAGCTATTAACAATTTAAATGATCAACTAAATAAATGCAAGGTTGATTTGACAAGACGATAATTAACTTATCTTCAAATTGATCCGTTTTTGTGTGCGTTCATTGTAAGGATTGTCAAGTTTATTAAATCGATTGGCAGTAAATATATTTACAATCTGTTTTTATTGAGATGAATAACTCTTTTGTTTTTCAATACAGATTATTCTTAATTATTCTTACAAATGAGCGAAATCTTATCAACATCGAAGCTCAATATCGTAAAGGGCTATGAAAAGAATCGGTCATAAAATAATTCTCAATATTTCTTGACCTTGAAAAGTCATATGCCATATAAATACATACATCTCTAAAACGAATCAAATCAAATCAAATTCTTGCAAAAATAGTTATTCAATAAATTTATTGCTTTAAATTAATTATACACTTTGTCATAACTTTTCTATAATTATTTTAAGTTAATCTGCGCAGTATGTTGTGCTTGAATGTGTTTTGGATTTATTGCACTAACAAATTAGTCATGCAATATGTAATAGCTCTTGTTAACTATTTGATGAAAGAATAGTAAAGCCATCAGTGCTGAGTTTGGCAACACAGAATAACCTATTTTATATATAGTGGTGTTGCCTTCAACAGAAGGACGAACATATGCAAAGTTTTAGGAAGTTAATTGTAGAACTTAGAGACTAGTAAGCATAGAAACAGACAGACGAACTTGGTTATATCAACCCGGCTGTTAATGCACAATATATACATATATATAAATATAGATTTAATGAACAGATTGTAATACCCGCTACGAGGATAAAAGAAGGGTATTGCATTCTTTTCTGATGGAGTGTAAGGTCACGGCATCATGTATAAAATACGAATTTTCCACACACATGGAAGTTGCCCGCTTCTCTCCCTAACTTTTAAATGAAACAGAACCGATCTTTGCACTCTCGTATGCTTCAAAAGGAAAGTTTTTAAGGTCTATGTCCTAAACAGCTTCCGATGTGATATCTTAATTCAGTTTATTTGTAATTTTTTATGTTTCTTAATAAATTTAACAACGATCCAAAAGCCCAGACATTGTTAAACCAGTTGGCCTGGGCAATAGTTTAGACTGAGTTTGAAGAAATTAATCGACTTTAATTTAAATTAACTTAAGTACTACTTAGAAAACGCGATGTTCTGGTCAATTCAGACATCTCATAAATATATAAAACTAAATTTATATCTCTAAATTCAGGGGGAGAGTTTGCTGTATTGTTGTGGGTTAAGTTTAAGCACAGTTCCAGTAAGGAAGTAAATCAACAAATCACAGAGGTCCTGTGACCCAACAACGACCAGTTGACCTAACCCATTTTCAATGGAAACGAGGGAGGGAGTGAAAAACATGTGTGTGTGTGTGTGTGTGTGTGTGTGTGGCTTTCGATAGCCCAATAGGGAATGCCAAAGAAATATACTTCAATAATTCATTTGAATCATGATAAATGTCCGGATTTCACTCTGACATTCGCAAAATATACTGAGGTCAGCACACACACACACACACACACACACACACACACACACACACACACACACACACACACACACACACACACACACACACACACACACACACACACACACACACACACACACACACACACACACACACACACACACACACACACACACGCAAACACACAGACGGCAATCCTTTCGCACAGATTGGGATTCTGCTTACGTGTTGACTTGGCCAACAAACTGCTGGCCATAGCAGTGTGGTGTGGGCTTTCCTGTGGCGCTTCTGTTGAGCTTAATGTTGCATGTATGATATACTTACTACGGCCCGCTGGCATGGGAAACTGTTGCCAAGTAAACTCTGCTGATTCAGCTACACGTTTCGGCCAGGGACCAGGGATAAGGGCAATAAACATCACCACGAGCGTACATTCAGACGAACTCCTGATCTCTGATTTCAAAATGATGCTATTTAAATAAAAACAAATTTAGACAAATAAAAACAAAAACTGGAAAGCTTAAGCTGTTTGTAATATGAACATGAACAGAATGTAGCAATGTGTTGTCTTAAATCTGTTTCCCCTAAGCAGGAAAAGATAATAGAAAAAACTTTCGCTTCGCCAGAGCTGTTTACAAATAGAAATTAGTTTTCCAGCAATTGAAAGTCAAAAAATGTACAGCTAGCATCTAAATTCAATTAGAGTTCGAAGTTTCTGTTATCAATTTTCCCCATTTTATGTTAGCAAAACCCTAAGACTATGTTTGGGTCGCATCAAAGACTTTTTCTAACTTTTTTCGATGTCTACATTATTAATAATTTTATCAAACGAATCCTATTTTGCCATAGACTCATTAAATTTACTTCGTTTACTTTCTAATGAAACTAACCTCAGACCTTGCGAGGAGGTTGCTTGGCACATTATTTACACCTGGTTTGGGTCGCATCAAAGGCTTTTTCTTATTTCTTTTTTAGGTCTACATTATTAATATTATTATCAAATGCTTCCCATTTTGCCACACACTCATTTATTTTACTTAGTTTGCTTTCCAGTTATTGTGAGGGTTTTGCGCCGTCCTGAATTAAGTTTTTCGATTTCTGATTAGATACCTTCCTATGCTTCTGCTTAACAAACGATCTGTAAGAATGCTTGATTTAAATTTCAAGGTAATAAAACAAATAGATTTCTCGACTAACAACGATTTGTTTCCAGATAGTAATGATATTTGAGGTTTGGAAACTTTTGACAGATTCCTGTGCTATTGCCAGCCCAGCGAATGCAGAGCTCGCTCCGCCAGATTGGACAGCTTTTACATGTCTAAAATTAGCAGTTCTTAAAATGACCTTCTTAAGGGTGGCATTGTGGGACGCCAATGGGGTATTCTCCAAGGCGAATGAAGTCTCCGCCGTCATTAAGCGCAACAACATTGATTTGTTTCTTCCAACGGAGACCCACTTCTGCTCTTGTATCACCTTTAGAGTTCCAGACAACATTAAACATGGAGGAGCACTATTCTAATCACGTCACCCCACAACCTCCCACAACCCGCTGGAGTCGCCGTGCCACTGGCATATACAGAGCGCAATCATCCGACTGGGATCCGGAAGAGTCATGTTGAACCTCGCGTCAGTATATACAAATTTTGCTTGAACTGATCGGGCTAGGGAAGACTCCTAAATGCTGATTATGGCAAGCAGCCTGCTACCGACGCTCTCGAAAGTCTTTGAGCGTCTCCTGCTGTGCAGACTTTTGGAGCTCGATGAGGTCAGGAGGCCAGTTTGGTTTCAAAAAAGTCTAACGGCTGCCCCGAGCAAGTCCACCGGGTAGTCAACCACTTGCTGAAGGTATTCGAGCAGACGAAATAGCCCGTTGGAGTTTTTGCTCGTCAAGAGACATATTTCAGCATCCTTATTCCTGGCAGACCTTACCTTCAATGTGTCCGTCAAAGACAAAAGCTTGGCCCTGAGCTGTACACGCCGTATCCGTCCGACCTCCCTACCATAGTATAATGCTGGTGGCAACGTATTCAACGTATGACACAGTCGTGTTGGCTTCGTATCAAACCATACAGTCCGAAAACAATGCTGTGCATACTGGCACACTGCTGTTGGTCGAAATCTGGACTGTGAACTGTAACATTGCAATAAACTGAGTCAAGCCCGCCTGCATCACCTTCACGCTACGCAAAGGTTGTTGCCAGGAAAAACCTTTGATAAAACCATCTCCATATGCTAACTGGGTGTCCCCCTGGAGTTGAAAAGTTCGACTGGCTACTAAAACTCCGGACTAAACTCCTGACGGACTTTTGTACCTACGCCGTCCAAATCTGGGGCACGGCATCAGCAGAAATGGGTGAAAAAGTAATATCAATCGCCGAATGAGGTGCGCATGAAGTATATGCTTATATAATTTGATGTCATGAAAGTAAAATTGTTCATACAGGATATTTTCATGTTTTGAAAATCACACGATTTGTCTTTTGTAGCTGCCATTCAAATCAATATTAGTCTTGCCTGAATTAAAACAAAAGGGGCTATGCCGTCATCTTTTCCCGGATGTAGTGTTAATTTATTGTTTATAATCTGATACATTTTTTCGCCTAGATTCCCCAGTACCTCGTGTAGATTTAGGATCTGTCATCGCCTCAGTAGATTCAGGTTCAGGATGTTGTCGCATCTTCAGTTGTGTATCGGAATCCTAAGGGTGCAAAGAAATTGAATATATTGAAAATTCGCACACGTATATCTTTCAATAAAACCAAGTAAACACGCTCTACTTGGGAATGCCCGACATGGACGTTCTTCTATACACCCACTTCCAATATTCCAATATATAACATATATACCAAAGCCTTAGACTATGGGGCGACCAAAGTTCAATATTCTGGATCATATCATCATCATCGACATTTCTTACATCGATATCCTTTTACACATTTCCAAAGGGCTCAATACTGGCTGGTATATGATAGAAAGTACATACCTTTCGTGTTTTGTTTTCTTCTTTTTTACATTTATTGTTTTTTTTTTTATCTTCGGGCTGGGTTTCTTTGTTGGTTTTGTCAGTTTTGGTTTCTTTGACGTCGGCTTCGGTCTTTATGGTTTGGATGGAAATCCTGACCGTCGTCTTGGCCGTCTTGGGTCTTGGGTCTTCGATGGCGCCTTCGCTTGGGTTTAAACAATTTCTTAATAAATTTCCAAATTCTTTTTAAAGTTCCCAAAAACCGTTGTTGCTGATTTCTCAAAGAAACGTTATTCTGTATTCGACCATTGCTACTTTCAAGTAGTTGTTGCTGGGATGAATCCTTGGGTTGTGAATTACGACTTTTAATATAATTGCGCCCTTCGGCTGTGAGAATGTTCGTTAAAATTGCAAGGAGTAATATTTCAAATATAACTTTCATTTCTACAAGTATTTTATACTAACACGGAATAACTTGTGCACAAACGTTTTTATAAGGCCAGAGACTGGAGTAATTGGACGTGGCTTAATTCGTATTAGATATGGCCATATGGACATCCCGATCCCTAGTTAAACAAACATTTGTATAAGACTTTATGAGAAGAAAATAAATTATATAATAAACTTGTATTATATAAAATTATTTTTCTCATATCCTGTAACCATTGAAAATGAGTCGAAGAGGGTATATTGCTTTTATGTCAACGTATTAAACAGGAGATATGTTCGACATGATAAAGTCGATATGGCCATGTCGATCTGTCATATAGTATCTAGTACCCGCGCTGTACGATTTTGTGTCAACTCCAGAATTTTGAATTTTGAAGTAAGTCGGAAACCCCCGACTAGGGTACTCTTACTTCTTCTTTTCTCAATTATATACTAAGAAGACGACTTCTGTTGCCGGCTCCATACATTTGCTAATTAGCTATACGTAATCAGATTACATAATTGTGAAATCTTGATTAAAATGTGTTTAAGCGATAATTATTATTATTATATATATATATATATATATATTCGATATATATATATATATATATATATATTCGATATATATATATATATATATATATATATAACTGGCGGGTATAACTCGGCCTTGCCCGTAGCACGTATAAACTAAAATTTCTCAAAAAGCTTTAAAATTGATTTTGACACTGATCGGACGGTAAACAAACAACCTTCATACAAACGTTTTCCCAAATTTCCCAAATCGCTGAATCACGTATGTTTTTAAGTTTTTATGTAGAGCTTTGAAAACAATTTGAAGTAAATCGGACACAGCTTAAAACATTGATTCACAATTCTACCGAAGAAATTTGGATTCTGCGAAAAGCGTGAAACACGTCTCAAATGATTTTTCGTATAGATCCTTAGAAATGAATTTGAGCGGGAAGCGTCACCATTCCACAAAGGAGGAATGCATTTTTTGAAAAGTGTGAAACAAATGAATTTGAACAAAGATATTTGAAAATGAGTTTGAGGCCGATCGGATGGTAAACATAAAAATTGCATACAAACATTTTTCTCGATTTTTCCATAGATGCGGGTGGAATATTCCGAAACCCCGTCTTAGCGAGCACCTTCATCATATTAGGAAACTACAGGGAACATTTTGGTTTCCTAGCTCTTACTGTACGGGCTGTGCGTTGAGTCATTATGTTAGTCAGTCAGGACAATCAGTTTTATACAAATAGTTTTATACACCTCCAGCCCAACCGACCAAGGCATAGCTAGTTGAACAAAACTGAAGTGATAAAGGTGTTTAATTACGTTAGTCTAGTAGGGATAGAAAAGTTTAATTTACTAGTCAATCCAGAAAAGTCGATTACACCCGTAACTAACTTATGACATAATATTACCTCAAGCATGGTTCTACAATTAATTATAGAAAGAAAATGAATCAGCAGAAGTCTACTGGAGTATGACGGTAACAGCACACGAGGATGCCAATTTAAACCACGAAGGGCAAACAACAATAATTATATCTGTACAGATTCAATTCTGATTTGACGAATAGAGTATTGTTGCGACCAGATACATGAGGCATACTCTAATATAGGTCTTACCACAGATATATGAAAGCTTTTTGTCGTGTACGGATCTTCAAACTCCTTAGACCATCCCTCATAGGTGGAAATGGGGGTCAATGATTTAAAAAAATCATTTGAGACGTGTTTCACACTTTTCTCGGAAACCAAGTTGCATCGATGGAGAATGCGATTACAAGATTTTTTTTGGCGATTTGGTTCAGACTTATTTTGAAAGCTCTTCATAAGATCTTAATGTATTGCTTCAGCGATTTGGCAAATTTTACCTGAAACAGTGGTATATTCAGAGAAAACGGTTGTACGAAAGTTTTTTGTTTACCGACCGATCGGTTACTAAATCATCTTCAAAGAGCTTCGAGAAAATTTATTTAATACGTGCCACGGGCAAGACCAAGGAATACCTGCTAGTTTTTATATAATTAAATATTATATTACAAGTCTGGTAATCCCATGTTTAATTATTCTTTAAGTCATTTTGGAGTCAATGATTAATTGTATTTGGAGAGCCGTGAAAACATTATTTTTTTCTCCACCGATTGAGAGTGTTTGGAAACCTTTGGGTATATAAGTATAATCGAAGATAAATAATTTTCCCTGAATTATTTTCTGACCCTATCATTATACTCTGGTAGAGGGATTAATAGTTTTGACATGAAAACTGCAAATCAAAGAAGGAGACATCTCCAACCGCAAAAAGTATATTGGGCAATATCAAAAGACATGTCCGTCTGCTTATCTGTTTCACTGCATGTTCGTCCATCTTTTTGTTCTTCGGTCTGCCTCTATTCTCGGTCTAGTCTTACATATAGCTGGCATAGGTGTGAGGTTAAGTTATTGAATATAATTATTGTTTTAAAATAACTTGACTTGACTAACTTTTTCTAGTTTTAATGTGGTTCTTGTATAAGAGCCATATCCTTTCAATATCCTCCACGCATCCTCTACATCTAAACATCCTTTATTACGCACTTACGAGCTTCACCCACTTAAGCCGTTGTTATACTAGGGTATTTTATCTTCGAAGTGCCGAAGATAATCTTTCTTTCTTGTTATACCCTGAACCCAGAAGGAAGCATATTCGACCGCAAGTATATATAGTCTGGATCAGCATCAATTAGTCCGCGTGTCCGTCCGTATGTATAAACGCAAGAATCTCAGAACCTATAAGAGCTAAAGACTTGAAATTTGGACCGTAGGCCAGGTCTCCGATAATCAATAACTTGCCCCGTTTCCAAGAAATCGATAAAAATCGATATCGAATTTTTAGAGCTACAGTCACTAAACTTAACATGTAGCTGCTAGAATGGTATATGTATATATATCAAGTATCTGTTACTTTACCTATCACCAGCACACGGCTACCACCACATACAATTTGTATTGCCCACCAATTAAAGCCACAATTTTAATGCAATTTTTGAGAACACACGAATATTTTATACTGTTCAAATTTTTATCAAGATCGGTTAAGAAAGAAGGAAAATATAATAGTCGGTTGTAAAAGTTCATAAAAAAGAACTTGTTTTTCGTGAGTTACTGGACAGCTCAGCGTTGCTTTTAAATATGCAACACTGCGAGGCCTCCAAAAACGATCACGAAGCATTTAAACCTTCCTGACACACATTGTGAAACATTGCGAGTTTAGTTATTGTCATTGGCGTAGTTCAACCGATCTCTCCTCGCTAGTGATTGTCTTACCATAGCCTGATGCCCTCCTTCATCCAAATCGGATATCTTCTCGATGTAATAATAATCGGAAATAAAAATATAACAAAAATATAAATATATTGAACTACTCCCTGTTAGTTCAAAACAACACGATTACCTTTTTGCTAAATTAGTTTGAAAGCAGCTTTTAGTTTTTCAATCGATCGACCTTTAACCCAAATATTAATATCTATTTAAACTATATTGTATTTATCATGACCGAGAAATGGATGGAAAAGTAATATCAATCGCCGAATGAGGTGCGCATGAAGTATATGCTTATATAATTTGATGTCATGAAAGTAAAATTGTTCAATGTATCCATAATTAGTTCTTGTTTGGGATTCGGTATAATTTTCATGCCATTCAAATCAATGTTAGTCTTGCCTTAATTAAAACAAAAGGGGCTATGCCGCCATCTTTTCACGGAAGTATATTTAGGTTCGATCCAATTTTAAAAATTTGTTGTTTATAATCTGATACATTTTTCACCTAGATGCTTTAGTACCTCGTGCAGATTTAGGATCTGTCATCTCCTCAATAGATTCAGGTAGAGTGGATGTTGTCGCATCTTCAGTTGTGTATCGGAATCCTAAGGGTGCAAAGAAATTGAATATATTGAAAATTCGCACACGTATATCTTTCAATAAAACCAAGTAAACACGCTCTACTTGGGAATGCCCGACATGGACGTTCTTCTATACACCCACTTCCAATATTCCAATATATAACATATATACCAAAGCCTTAGACTATGGGGCGACCAAAGTTCAATATTCTGGATCATATCATCATCATCGACATTTCTTACATCGATATCCTTTTACACATTTCCAAAGGGCACAATACTGGCTGGTATATGATAGAAAGTACATACCTTTCGTGTTTTGTTTTCTTCTTTTTTACATTTATTGTTTTTTTTTTATCTTCGGGCTGGGTTTCTTTGTTGGTTTTGTCAGTTTTGGTTTCTTTGACGTCGGCTTCGGTCTTTACGGTTTGGATGGAGATCCTGACCGTCGTCTTGGCCGTCTTGGGTCTTGGGTCTTCGATGGCGCCTTCGCTTGGGTTTAAACAATTTCTTAATAAATTTCCAAATTCTTTTTAAAGTTCCCAAAAACCGATGTTGCTGATTTCTCAAAGAAACGTTATTCTGTATTCGACCATTGCTACTTTCAAGTAGTTGTTGCTGGGATGAATCCTTGGGTTGTGAATTACGACTTTTAATATAATTGCGCCCTTCGGCTGTGAGAATGTTCGTTAAAACAGCAAGGAGTAATATTTCAAATATAACTTTCATTTCTACAAGTATTTTATACTAACACGGAATAACTTGTGCACAAACGTTTTTATAAGGCCAGAGACTGGAGTAATTGGACGTGGCTTAATTCGTATTAGATATGGCCATATGGACATCCCGATCCCTAGTTAAACAAACATTTGTATAAGACTTTATGAGAAGAAAATAAATTATATAATAAACTTGTATTATATAAAATTATTTTTCTCATATCCTGTAACCATTGAAAGTGAGTCGAAGAGGGTATATTGCTTTTATGTCAACGTATTAAACACGAGATATGTTCGACCCGATAAAGTCGATATGGCCATGTCGATCTGTCCATATTTTGAGCGCAGGTCCACCTAGTACCCACTCTGTACGATTTTGTGTCAACACCAGAATTTTGAATTTTAAGGGTACTTTTACTTCTCATTTCCGCAATTATATACTAAGAAGACGATTTCTGTTGCCGGTTCCATACTAATAAGCTTACAAAACTGTGAAATCTTGATTAAAATGAGCTAGTAATAAATATTCTCTATATAGAAAACTATTTGTCCGGACTGACTGACTGATTGAATCACCTATTGACCGACTGATTGGTGATCAACGCACAACCCATACCGTAAGAGTTGGGAAGATGAAGTTTTGACTGTAGTTACCTTAGGTGATGAAGGTGCACGTTAAGACGGGGTTTCGGGAAATTCCACCCGCAAGTGTCGAAAAATCGCGAAAAACGTTTGTATGAAACTTTTTCGTTTACCATCCAATCGTTCTCAAACTCATTTTCAAAGATCTTGGCGCAAATTCATTTGAGGGGTGTTTCACACTTTTAGGAAAATCCGTTCCTCCTTGGTGGAAATTGGGGTTAAAGATTTGGTGGGTGACGTTTGGCGCTCAAATTCATTTCCATGGATCTACATAAAAAATCATTTGAGACGTGTTCCACTTTTTTGGCAAAATCAATGCAGCCTCGGTGGAAAGTGCAATTCGAGGTTTTTTGGTGAAGTTTAAAGTTTTGTCCGATTTGGTTTAAACTAATGCAAGAATCGTCAGGTTGACTGAGTGATATTAGCTTATACAAACATTCGTGAAGGATAGGATAGTTTAATATCGTTAACTTTACAAAGATTGGCTTAGAAATTATATTCTTAAGTATCGTCCGTCTTCTGTACTTATTCCTTGCTGCTTAGCTTCCCACTCTTGAGGTGCTTAACTCAATACTTCTTCGCATAATTATCGATTTGCTGCGAATGGCCATGGGTCGAGGCTGCCAGACGCTTACACTAATTTTTAAAGCTCTACATAAGAACTCAATGAATACGTGTTTTAGCGATTTGGGAAATCGCAACAGCGGTAAATTAGCGGAAAGCGTTTGAATAAAAGTTTTTCGCTTAAAGCTTTTTGACAACATTTAATTATACGTGCCAAGGGCAAGGCCGGGTTATACCCGCTGGTAAATAGATATAATAATAACCAAAATATAAATATAATGAACAGCTTGCTGTTAGTTCAAATATACGGATACCTTTATTGTAGTTTTAATTTTTGGCTAATCTAGTTTTTTCTTCCTTATTGACATAAAATAACATTGACATTAAATATCAATGAAAATAAAATTGTTCAATGTACTTTTTCGAATGTGGTGATCAGTTTTATTTATTCAAAGGTATATTGTAACACACTGCAGAGTCTCCCATAAAGGCAACTGCACTGCCCAACATATTTATGATTTATTCTTGCTCAGGATTCGGCAAACTTTCAGTGTTATACCAAAATAGGTAACAAACAGGTAACAGGTACGATAGCTCCATGGTTAACCAAAATTTTTAGATACGAATTTTATTATAGGTGGCAAACAGGATATTTTCAAGGTTTGAACTCACACGATTTGCCTTTTGTAGCTGCCATTATAACCAATATTATTCTTGCCATATCTAAATCAAAGGGGGTTATGCAGTCATCTTTTTCCGGCCGTCTCTTTAGGTTCGCATCAATTTTTTAAATTTGTGTTTTATAATCCGAAACTTAAAGCAATACTATGTATCTTCTTTAGAATTAGAATCAATTTCTTCTGTAGCCATCGAATCAATTTCTTCTGTAGACATCGAATCAATTTCTTCTGTAGACATCGAATCAATTTCTTCTGTAGACATCGAATCAATCTCTTCTGTAGACATCGAATCAATCTCTTCTGTAGACATCGAATCAGTTTCTTCTGTATAATAAGGATCTGCCGACGCCTCAGAAGATTCAGGTTCAGTGGATGTTGTCGAAAATACTGTTGGGTTTATATCTACGGATATTTCGCCGTTCAATGTCAAAGAACTATAAGAGGGCAAACAAATTGAAAATATAGAAAATTTGAATATGCATATATCTTGCAATAGAAAATGTGTAAAAACGCTCTACTTGGGAGTCCCCGACTGGGAGTTACCCTAACCCAATTATCAAGCGGCTGACAGAATATTCGAAATTCCTTCTATACACCCACACCGCAAGCTGTGTACTTTATGCATCGGATGCGAATAACTTCGGAGCTTAGTGTCCGATCTTTAAAAAATGTTAACGGCTTGATTATGACCGAAACTTGAATATTCTGGATCATACCATCATCATAAACATCCTAAATTTGATGTCTCCAGGCCTCGAAGGCTATGTGATATGTTTAAATATCATATTGATGCTGCTCAAGAAAATTCAAAGTAGTCGGATATGCTTCCTTCTACACTGATAGCCTTTTACACATTTTTAAAGGTTTTGGTCCCACAAAACTTGCTGTTATTTGAAAGATATATGTACAAACCTATCGAGTTTGGGTTTCTTTGTCGTCGGTCTGAATGGTGGGGGTCTGGGTGGCCTTGGCTTTGGTCTTCGATGTGGCCTTGGTCTTCGATGTGGCCTTGGTCTTCGATGTGGCCTTGGTCTTCGATGTGGCCTTGGTCTTCGATGTGGCCTTGGCCGTGGCCTTGGTCTTCGATGTGGCCTCGGCCGTCGAAAGAGCTTTGGCTTGGGTCTAATCAATTTAAAAATTTTTCTCCTAGCTGCACTTAAAACTCCAAAAAGCCGATGTTGCTCATTTTGCATAGAATACTTATTCTGTATTGGACCATTGCTACTTTTAAATAGATGTTGCTCGGATGAATTCTCGGGTTGCCGTTGTGCAAGCTGATTGTGTCCATGATGACGACTCGGATGATGCTCTTGGTGATCATCTCGTGAATTACGACTTTTCACTGTAGTTCTGTGCCCTTTGGCTGTAAAAACGTTCGTTACAATTATAATGAGTAATATTTCAAAAAGAACTTTCATTTCTAGAAGTATTTTATACTAACACGGAAACACTTGTGCAAAAACGTTTTTATAAGGCCAGAGACTGGAGTAATTGGACGTGGCTTAATTCAAATTAGATATGGCCATATGGGCATTACGCTCCCGAGTTAAACAAGCAATTTTAAAGGAATTAATGAGAAAAGACTAAATGAAGTAAATGAAAATAAAGAACAGTTAATATTAATATTTTTCTTTTACCCTGTACCCATTGAAAATGAGTAAAAAGGGTATATTGCTTTAATGTTAACGTATGTAACAGGAGGTATGTCCGTCTGTATTTTGAACGTAGTCCACCTAGTACCCGCATTGTACGATCCAGAATTTTGACTTTTTGAGTAAGTCGAGAACCCCCGACTAGGGTACTCTTACTTCTTCTTTCCTCAGTTATATATTAAGAAGACGACTTCTTATGCCGGTTCCATCATTTGCTAATTAGCTATAAGTAATCAGTTTACATAAGTGTGAAATCTTGATTAAAATGAGTTTAGGCGATAAATATTCAGATGTTATAAGATATAAGACAAAATGAAAACGCAATTTTGTTTGAATAGAACCAACATATTTAGGCTGCACTTCGGCAACCGTCTTCAGGGCATTAACACAAAAACCAAACAAAAAATAAGCATTAAGATACATTAAATAAAATTAAACAATTATTTAAACAATTCAAAAAACATACATTGTTTTACACGTCTGCGTTCATTGACGTGGAGGTTGAAACTATTTGGCAGTTCAATATGTCTGCATAAATGGGCGCAGTTTTAGGTGTCCGTTTTGTAGTTTAGTCGTCTGTTGTTTGGTGGGTTTATTATGTGTAACACTTCTAATGTCGGTCTTTTGTTATTAAGTTGTTCTTGTTGTAAAATTGTTGTCGCATCGAAATTTGGTGGGTGGTTGCTTTTCATACAGTGGGTCATAAGTGCTGTTTTTATACCCTGAACCCATTAAAAATGGTTAAACAGGCTATATTGTATTTGTGCAAATGTATGTAACAGGCAGAAGGAAGCATCTCCGACCCCATAAAGTATATATATTCTTGATCAGCATTAACAGCTGAGCCGATCTAGCCATGACCGTCTGTATGTCCGTCCGTCCGTATGTATGAACGCAAGGATCTCAGAACCTATAAGAGTTAGAGACTTGAAATTTTAGCTGTAGGTCCTCCTAGTGCCCGCGCAGATCGAGTTTGTTTCCGATATTCGATAACTTGCCCCGTTTCCAAGTAATCGATAAAAATCGAACCGTAAGCTCCGCTCCCGGCCACCAGTTTTTTGACAGGGTCCTGCGCGATTGCCAACTCATCTTTGCACTCGGCTCGCTCCTCATGTCGCAGAAGGAACACAGGCGGCAATGCCAATCTCTCTCTTCTAGTTGCTGAAAACAATCCCAACTCAGTTCAGTTGGTTCAGTTCTTGTAGGTGAATGAGGCCTCCTTGACTCAGGATCTCTGAATTTCGAATTGAGCCTAGGGATTGCTACACCTGAAGTTGTTGCAGTCTCGTAGACATTGTCGCGGCCGGTACCACACTCTAATACACGCAGCATTCATCGCCGCATTCATCGCTACAGCCTTCTGCGAACCAAGCTCAACTTATCGCCGCTGCTGTTGAAGAAGGTGAGGAAGTGTATCACTCGTTTCAAGGAGCCACATAGCACAAGCACTTTGTCTACGGCGTGGGTACTTACGCTACGCTCCAGGTGCACACACAGCTTGTCGCTGCACATCCTGGGAAAAATCACATCTCCATCGGCAAGGGACAAGATCGATTTATATGCACTGGAGATATTCAATGATATTTCCCTCACAGATCCGATGTTTAACACTACAACGTTTACTGTGTTGGATTAAAAATAGCATACATTTTATTAGAAAACAGTTTTCTTAGGGGATGTTTCGCCAAGCCTGGTTGGGTTCTCCAGGCTTTACAGTGGAAGACTGGGTCAAAACCGGCTTTTTGAATAAGGCTGCACTGTCACGTAAGTTGTCCGCAGACTCTGAGACGTCTCCTCTGTCGTATTTGGAGGAGGTCCGACTTGGCTGTCTATGGTCGCTATTCTGAGGTATTTGTGCAAGGCTGAATTTTTGACGTACCAGTCAGCTCCAGGCATTTTGCGCAAGGCCATATTTTGGAGGTTCTGAATCCGTCTTCGATTTGTCCGTGACGCAATGCCCCAGACCTGGATACCGTATCTCCATGTCGGCGCCACCATGACATTGTAAGCTGCCCGCTTGCAGCGAAGTGGCAATGGGCTGTTGGGGTTTACTAGCCAGTTTGCATTAGCCATCTTAAGGCGGCAAATGGTGGGGCTGCTATCTAGCTGGAGCCTTGCCACGCCTTAGTGTATAGTTGACTGCCTGGCACTTCGAGGCATTGAGCTTGATGTTCCGCCTGCGTGCCCAGCTCTCAAGCAAGTGGATGTATTTCTGGGCCCCGTCAGTGGCTTCGTACTCGCATTAGGCGAAGTAGAATATTGCCTCGTCATCGGCAAATCTGGCTATCAGGTGTTTGCCTGGGGTGGCGAAGTCGTGTAGGTCGTCCGGAGTGGGGATGTCTGCCATGTACAAATTGTAGAGAAAGGGGCCAAATACGCTGCATTGGGGGTCACCCGCTTTCATTTTGCGAACAGGAGAGATTGCTGCCCTAACTTTGACTTCGAACTTTCGATCCAATAGATAAGAGCGCAGAAGTTGAAAGAAGAAGGCGGGAAGACTAATCTTAATTTTCAAAGGCCTGCTTTACGCCTACTGTCGGACTGTCCAAGTCCACTATTTGCGATAGTAGGAGCCTCACCACGTGCCTCCAGTAGGGGCATTGTTGTTGGCCATTAGATCGGGCACGGAAAAGCTTGTGCTAGCACGGGCGAAAACGTGGGGAGACACTGAGGCCGGCAAGTTTTTTATATGACTACCTTCTTGTGCTGAGTTTAGCTGATCGACCTCAGATACGTCAGTCTGCATGTTTTCTTTGTTATTGGGGGTGCCAAGAGGGCATATCTCTTGGAAGCATGTGGCAGTTCGTTAACTGGACTGGAGTCAGCCTTTTGTGACCACCTTGTTTTTCTCAGCAGCAGAGGAGCCCAAATGACAAAGCACAGTCGAAAAATAGGCGCTTGGTTATTTGTTAGGCGCTGTGTGTTTTGTTATCAGTTGTTTTATAAACCGAAGATAAAACGCAAACAGATTCGTAAACACGCGGGTCCGTGTGGTCTTCAAAACATTTAATTTGCGTTTATAAATGTTATTTATAATATTAAATATTAAAAATGGAATTTTATGTTTGCCCTGGGACCAAGGAAGGCAATGTTGTTGCTGTTGTTAATTGATTTCGAGTGTTTACAATTATTGCATTGAGTTTGTCACTATCACAAGAGAAATACGTCTCGACTTTTTGACACTTATATACGAACTTAAACGTACTATTTCAAATTTGGTGATCAGTTTTATTTATTCAAAAGTTGTCTGGTACACATTGCAGCGTCTTCCATAAAGACAACTTCAATGCACAACTTATCCATCATTAATTCTTGTTAAGGATTCGGAAAACTCTTAATATTATTCCAAAACAGGTAGCAGGTACGATATCACCATGTTCACTTAAAATGTTTTAACTACGATTTTTATTATAGGCGGTAAACACGATATTTTTAAGGTTTGAATGTCACACGATTTTTGTAGGTGCAATTATAACCAATGAACTTTTCGGTTCACCTCAATTTCATAAATTTATTGTTTATAATCAAAAACTTAAAGCATCTAATTTTTTTTCGCCTAAATTTCTTCTTCTGTTTCTTCTGTAGAATAATAATCAGAATTTGAATTTGACATCGAATCATCTTCATCTGTAGAATCAGAATACCAGGCAGCGTCACTATCAAATTTTAAAGAAAGAAGATAAGAAGGCAATCAAATTGATTAAAACTAGAACATGCATACATCTTTCAATAGAAAACGAGTAAGAAAGACTATCTTCGGCACGCCGAAGATTTAATACACTTGCAGGCAGCACCTTTACATAATGCTGGCAATGCCTTGTTGTATCCAAGAAGCCGAGAATGGTTATGATATCTTGAAAAACAATAAGTTTTTTCATACAAGAACCCTTTTTTCGATCGATCGTTCCTAAGGCTATATGATATGTTGGTTCGATCGAGCCAGGCCCGATATATGTTTTGCGTGCAACAGAAAGAGGGATGTTAACAGTTTCATGACGATAGTTTTAAAACTGAGAGAATATTTCGCATAGAAAGAGACAGACGGACAGATATGGCTATATCGACCAGACTCTGGGGCTCATGAATATTCTGGTATTTTGATGTCTCCAGTCCTTATAGGCTCTGATATATAATAAAACACCATATTGATGCTGATTAAGAAAATATATAATACTTTATGTGGTCAGACCTGCTTCCTTCTGCACTGATAGCCTTTTACTCATTTTTAAGGGGCTTGGTCCTTAAATACTGGGGGCATATAATAGATATATGTACAAACCTGTCGAATTCCGGTGGCTTCGTTGTTTTCGGTGGCTTCGTTGTTGGTTTCGGTGGCTTCGTTGTTGGTTTCGGTGGCATCGTTGTTGGTTTCGGTTTCGGCGGTGGGGGCGTGGGTGGCGGGGGCGTGGGTGGCGGGGACGTGGGTGGTGGGGACGTGGGTGGCGGGGACGTGGGTGGCGGGGGCTTGGGCGGTGGGGGTCTGGATGGCGGGCTGGGCTTCGGACTTGGTTTAAACCAACCCACTACTGCTTTAACTGCCTTTGCAGCCCATGAAAATAACCCACGTTCGAAGTTTTGCAAATCATAGTTATTTTGTATTGGATCATTCCTTCTTTTTATGAGATGCTGCTTGAATAATCTCTTGCGTTGTGCAAGCTGATTGTGTCCATGATGACGACTTGGATGATGCTGTTGGTGGTCATCCAGTGAATTACGACTTTTCACTTTATTTCTGTGCCCTTCGGCTGTGAAAACGTTTATTACAACTACAAGGAGGAATATTTTAAAAAGAACTTTCATTTCTAAAAGTATTTTACAGTAACAAGGAAACACATGTGTAAAAACGTTTTTATAAGGCCAAGAACTGGATTAATTGGACGTGGCCTAATTCGAATTAGATATGGCTATATGGGCACCACGGTCCCTAGTTAAACAATCATTTCTGAAAGGAAAATAAATTATATAATAAACGTGTATTATATTTCAATATTTTTTGATGTAATTATTAATAAGGGTATATTGCTTTCATGAAATTATATGTATGTATTGAAGGAATGTCCAAATAAAGTATATATATTCTTGATCAGGACAACAAGCTAAGTCGATTTGGCCTTGTCTGTCTGTCTGTCTCTTGAACGTACGCCCATATAGTACGATTTTGTGACTCCAGAATTTGGACATTAAAAGTAAGTCGGCAATCCTCAACTAGGGTACACTTACTTCTTCTTTCCTCAGTTACATATATACTAAGAAGACGACTTCTAATGCCGGTTTCATACAAATACCAATTAGCTATACGTAATCAGCTTACATAAGTGTGAAATCTTTATTAAAATTAGTTTAGGTGATAAATATTCTTTATATATAAAACTTTTTGTCCCGACTGACTGATTGACTGACTGATTGGTGAACAACGTACAGCCCAAACCGTAAAAGCTAGGAAGCTGAAATTTCCACTGTATGTAGTTATTTTATGTTATGAAGGTGCACGTTGAGACGCGGGAAATTCCACCAGCATGTGTGGAATAATCTCGAAAAACGTTTGTATGAAACTTTTTTGTTTACCATCCGATCGATCTCAAACTCAATTTCAAAGATCTTTGTTCAAATTCATTTGAGGGGTGCATCGCACTTTTAAAAAATGTATCCCTCCTTGCTGGAAATGGGGCTTAAAGATTTGGTGGGTAACGTTTCGCCCTTAAATTAATTTCTAACTTCCTTATTACTCAATGTCGGTTACTCAACTCCGCCTTCGAGAGCGTCATGAAAGCTCGCGGCGATGTAGAGCGGCCGGGACTTTTGCAGCGATCGTCAAAGAGACGTTAACCATAGAGAATGAAGCGCGAATAAAGTAATGTTGAGGACGGAATTTGCTTTTTTTTTTATTTGTTAGTATCACTAACCTCGGGCGTCTTGGTAAGCCGGTGTTCGACATAGTTCCCTTGTTCCTCTGTAGTACTGCACCGATGGCTGTAACGGAGGCATCACAAGTCAGGCTCAGGTCTGCGTGTGGACTTGAATGAGCGAGAGTGGCTGCTTTTGCAATTTTCAATTGTGTTCGCCGTCCAGTCCACAACTCATTTTATATTCTTTTTTATTTTGCGCTTCAAATCATAGAGCGGTGCCTGAGTTTCTGATGCATGTCGTATACTGCGGCGATAGTAGTTCTTTATATCCAGGAAGCGGCCCAGTTCGCTTATTGTTTGTGGTCGCCCGTACTCTGACGCGATCCTTTGGAGGTTTAATACCTTTGCCATTAACTAAGTAGCTTAGAAACAATCCTCAGTTGTTTTTGAATTAAATTTTTTGTCATTAATCCTGAGGCCATTTCCTTGCAGGATACATAGGACATTGTTCACTCACGTTTTGCTTATACTCCATAACTGAGTTTTACATGACCAGGATATCGTCTGAGAAGGAGAACAAATAGTCGACACTTCGGAAAAGTTGGTCCATGAAACGCTGGAAAGCTTGCGTCGCATTTTTAAGACTAAATGGCATTTAAAGAAATTCAATCAAACCAAACGGTGTGCATACTGCAGTTTTTAGATGTCTTCTGGTGCCATTGCTGTTTGATAGTATGCACGTTCTAAGTCCAAAGTCGTGAATATGAGTTTATCATGTAAACAGTCAGCGAAGTCGTGTATGTGTGGTATCGGATAAAGATCAGGAGGTGCTATCGCGATTAGTTTCCTGTAATCGCCACCGCTGGTCTTTGCTACCATGTGACTTTTGGACCTTTGGAATAGCGACAGATTCCTTCGTCAATCAGTTGATGGATTTGTGCTTTTGCAGATGCCAGTTTTGTGACCAGTTGGGATGATGTAGTGTCGAACTGCATGTGATGGAGGATTTTCGCACAAGTTGTTGGCCGTGTTGACCGCATCGGTATGTTTTGCGTGAGTGCTACGACGGTGTGGTTTTTGTGCATTATTTGTCTATGAGCAAATCAAGCTGTAACAGAAAGTCAACACCAATTATTGACGAGCAACAGGAATCATGAAACACCACTTGAAAGCACGACCCAGGTCATGTCGAGCTCTAGGTTTAGGTTACCGTATGTTTGTATCATGTTCGGTTTGTGACATTTAATTGCATATAATTGTTTACCTATTGGTTGTGTGCCGTTTGTCGTTGTGCAAGGCACAACTGACACCAATGATCCTGAATCAATGAGAAAGATATGACGAATATGGAGATCCTTCACGTGTAGACGGTGGTCTTGCCCCCGTCGCATGTGCTGAATGGTGGCTGGTGCTAGAAATGCTACCATCCCCCAGCTGAGTAAGCGGCATCCGCTCTAGTTTAGCCGATAGATCGTGGCTAGGACTGTCACAGTTTATTTGGTGGAACGGCCACTAGAGGCTTAGGCGCCACAGGTGGGACAGTGGGACACTACCAGCTGTGGTAACTAAGGCAGCCGGTACAGAACTAGGTCTTACAGCTACCGGAGTAGTAAAAGAGATGAGCTGCTCAGGGATCAGGGTAGTAAGCTGCTGTATTGCAGTCGGAGGCTGAAGACTTTTTAGGTCCTGGAGACTCATTCAGCAGTTGTAGGCTATTGAATTGGGTATCCAGGGCTGTGAGCTGATCGTTTAGTTATCGAAAACCAACCATCAGACCCCTTAAGCCAGTCCTGAATTTCGTCATCAATCACCCTACACGAGTCTCAACTATAGTGCAAACCATTATGTTGGGCAACAGCAACCCCACTAGGCCAGTGTAACCCGTGCATTTAGAATGCACGACATTATCACATAGCCAACAAGGTATGATCGATTGACTTGCCGTAATTTGCTTTTGGCAAGCATTTCTGAACCAGACAATTTTATGATTCATTTTTATAGGATTGCTAGCGGGTATAACCCGGCCTTGCCCGTGGCACGTATGTTATATATGTTTTCCGCCAATTTACCACTGTTTCGGGTAGAATTTCCCAAATCGCTGAAGTACGTATTTATTAAGTTCTTATGTAGAGCTTTGAAAATAAGTTTGAAGCAAATCGGAGACAACTTAAAACTTCGCCCAAAAAATCTTTAAATCGCATTCCCCCCGAAGAAATTTGAATTCTGCGAAAAGTGTGATTTTTCTTATAGATCTCTGAAAATTAATTTGAGCGCGAAACGTCACCCACCAAATCATTGACCTCCATTTCCACCAAGGAGGAACGGATTTTCCTAAAAGTGTGAAACACCCCTCAAATGAATTTGAACAAAGATCATTGAAAATAAGTTTGAGGCCGATCGGATGGTAAACAAAAAAGTTACATACAAACGTTTTGCGCGATTTTTCCACACTTGCGGGTGGAATTTCCCGAAACCCCGTCTTAACGTGCATCTACATCACATAAGGTAACCACAGTGAAAATTACAGCTTCCTAGCTCTTACGGTTTGGGCTGTGCGTTGATCACCAATCAGTCAGTCAGTCAGTCAGTCAGTCAGTCAGTCAGTCAGTCAGTCAGGACAAACAGTTTTATATATAGAGATAACTTGATTTTCATGAGCTACTCCACAGCTCTGCTTTGCTTTTAAATATGCCTCCAAATACGATTACGAAACATTTTAACCTTTCCTGAGACACATTGTGAAAAACAAGGTTTTATGAGTTCAGTTATTGTCATTGGCGTACTTCAACCGATCTCTCCTCGCTAATAATTGTCTAACCTTAGCCTGATGCCGATCTTTGATCACAATGGAATATCTTATCGATGTAATAATAATCGAAAATGAAAATATAACCAAAATATAAATACATCGAACAATTCTTTGTTAGCTCAAAAAATTTCGAATATCTTTTTGGTAGGTGCAACTTTTTCAAACTAGTTTGAAAGCACTTTGTATTTTTTCATGCGATCGACTTTTAACCAAAACTCTTATATCTATGTAAACTATATTGTATTTATCATGGCCGAGAAATGGGTGAAAAAGTAATATCAATTACTGAATGAGGTGCGAATGAAGTATATCCTAATATAATTTGATGTCATGAAGATAAAATTGTTCAATGTATTCGGGTTTAGGATTCGGCAAAATTTTCAACAAGTAACAAACATTTAACAGGTAACGATAGCTCCATGATTAGCCAAAATATTTTAGATACGATTTTTATTATAGGTGGCACGATATTTTTAAGGTTTGAAAATCACACGATTTGTCTTTTGTAGCTGCCATTATAATCAATATTAGTCTTCATCTTCTGTCATCTTTTCCTGGATACAGTGTTAGGGTCGCCTCAATTTTATAAATTTGTTGTTGTCTATAATCCAAAACTTAAAGTAAGTTAGTTTTTCGTCCAAATGGCTATATATCATCCATATAATAATAATCCGACATCGAATAACTTTCTTCTGTATAATCAGATTCCTCAGAAGAGTCACTATCCAGTGTCAAAGAGAAAAGATAAGAGGGCAAATAAATTGAACATATAGAATATTCGAAGATGCATACAAATTTCAATAGAAAATATGTTAAAACGCCTAATAGCCTTTTACACATTTTCAAGGGGCTTGGTCCTACAATACAGGCTGGTATTTGATAGATCTATTTACAAACCTATCGTGTTCCATTGTCTTCTTTGTTGTCGTTGTCGTCGGCCTTTTCGTTGTCGGCGGTGGGGGTGGGGGTGGGGGTGGGCGTGGGGGTGTGGGTGGGTAACTGGGTGGCGAAGGGTGTGGAGGTGGACTTGACGGGGAGAAAAACCCAATAATTGATGGAACAAGTGATATCGCAACGCTAATCAAAGCGCCTAATCCAATCCGATGTTGGATATCGTTATTTTGTATTGGACCATTCCTTCTTTTAAATAGATGTTTCTCTGATAATCTCTTGCGTTGTGCAAGCTGATTGTGTCCATGATGACGACTTGGATGATGCGGTTGGTGGTCATCTAGTGAATTACGACTTTTCACTTTCTTTCTGTGCCCTTCGGCTGTGAAAAAGTTCGTTACAATTACAAGGAACAATATTGCAATAAAAACTTTCATTTCTAGAAGTACTTCGCAGTAATACGAAGAAACTTGTGTAAAAACGTTTTTATAAGGCCAGAGACTGGAGTAATTGGACGTGGCTTAAATCAAATTAGACATGGCCATATGGTCATCAGGCTCCCTAGTTAAACAAACATTTTTATAAGATTTCATGAAGGAAAATAAATTATATAAAAAACTTTTTTTATATTTTATTATTATTATTTTATTTTTTGTATGTAATTGTTATTGAGGATATATTGTTTTTTTGTTTTTTATGTAACAGGAGCTATGTACGACCAAACAACGTATATATATTCTTGATCAGGACAGCATGCTGAGTCGATTTGGATATGTTCGTCTGTCTGTCCTTTGAACATACGACCATCTGGTACCTGTACGATAATGTGTCAAATCATCAATAAATTACCTCGTTTCTGTGAAATCGATAAAACTCCAGAGTTTTTACTTTTTGAGCAAGTCGGCCATCCCCGACTAGACTACTCTTACTCCTTCTTTCCTCAGTTAGATTATTATTATTATTATGCCGGTTCCATACATTTGCTAATTAGCTATACACAATTAGCTTACATAAGTGTGAAATCTTGATAAAAATGAGTTGAGGCGATAAATATTCAAATAACAGATTGTAGTATGAGCAACATCAATATTCACCATACCCAACCAATGTAAGGGTATTGCAAACAATAATACATATAGTGACACTCTGTTGCTATAGCATAACACAACTCAAGGTACGTTCGAAATATGATCGTCCACTTTTGAGTCGCCTGACCATAGCGTGGGATGTGCAACGTCTGCACATTCTGCCACATACCATGCCTTTGCCTTGCGTTATGTATATGTTCACTGTATTTGCCTTAAGTATATGGATGTGGTAAACGTTCACTACATGCTCCCGCTCTGCCGCTGTATTCAGCGACAGAGACATATATACAAAAACCCTCTTGTTAGACTTAAGTATAAATTTATAATCCAAAGACAGTCAGTCGATGGAAACCAAGCAACGTCAGAAGACGTCTTTAATAAAAACCCTAAATCAATAAATAAGTGTTTTCAATTTTTTTCACAACAAGATATAGTACCTTGACCAATTTTGGTAAATAATAAGAGCTAGAGTCACCAAACTTGACATGTAGCTTCTAGAATAGTATATATATTCAAGTATCTTTCATTTTATAGCTATCACCACCTCCCCGTAACTACCTCATAGCTATAAATCAAGTAAATATACCAATTTACATATGCTGCCCACCAATATAAGCCACAATTTGAATGCAATTGACTTTTTGAGATTACACAAATATTCAATAGCACAATAAGATATGTACTGTAGAAATACAAAAGTTATTATAGAAACATGTTTTGGCTGGACTCGAGTTTGGGGCAGTAAGCGCAAATTGCAGGAATTTCTGTACACAGACACATTCCTGCGCGTCTTCTTTGAATTCTATAAAAAGCATTGCAATGGCGATTATATTGTTTTTTGAGCTGCTATTTCAATTCGTTTTTTTCTCATTGAGACTTAATTATTGGTATGGTTGTTGAGTAGGGGTACGGCTGCAAGTGGTGCGGTCTGCTGCGAGTTCGAACCCTACCGAGGAAACTATGATTTTTTTCTTGTTTGGGCGGTGTGGCTGTTGAGTTGAGGCGGCAGCAAGTAATGCGGTCATTTGCGGGTTCGATCCCAGCCAAGGGAGTTTTTTTTTATAATTTATTTTTATTGCTACTAAAAGAAACGAGCGCGTAGTGCGAGCTCCATTTGGTTTTGGAATAAAAGGGTTCAGGGTATCTCCTAGTCGGGAGCTCCCGACTAGAACCTCTTACTTGTTTTTATTTTGGTTGACAGCCAAACAAAACACAAAAGCTAACCGAAAGAACCATTACAGTACCTCTGGTGTCTTGCTCCATCTCTGCACCGATGTATGTGTCGGAGGCATCGCAAGTCAGGCTCAGGTCTGCGTGTGGACTTAAATTAGCGAGAGTGGCTGCTTTTACAATTTTCAAATGCCCCAATTACCTTGGCCATTCTGTCCACAGCTCGTTTTTTATTCTTTTTTAGTTTGCGCTTCAAATCGTTGAGCGGTGCCTGAGTTTCTGATGAATGTGGTATACAGCGGCGATAGTAGTTCTTTATATCCAGGAAGCGGTCCAGTTCGCATATTGTTTGTGGTCGCCCGTACTCTGAGATCGCCATGACGCGATCCTTTGAAGGTTTAGTACCTTTGCCATTAAATAAGTAGCGTAGAAACAATACCTCAGTTGTTTTTAAATTGAATTTTTTGTCGTTAATCCTGCCATCCAGCCATTTGCTTGCAGGATACATAGAACATTGTTCACTCACGTTTTGCTTATACTCCATAACTGAGTTTTACATGACCAGGATATCGTCTGAGAAGGAAAGACACCAACGATCCTGAATCAACGAGAAAGATATGACGAATATGGAGATCCTTCACGTGTAGACGGTGGTCTTGCTAGTGCTAGAAATGCTACCATCTCCCAGCTGAGTTAGCGGCATCCGCTCAAGTTTAGCCGATAGATCGTGGCTAGGACTGTCACAGTTTCTTTGGTGGAACGGCCACTAGAGGCTTAGACGCCACAGGTGGGACAGTGGGACACTACCAGCTGTGGTAACTAAGGCAGCTGGTAGCTCGGATTTTTGTTTTTTTCGTACCGATGTCACACATTTCGGAACAGAACTAGGTCTTACAGCTACCGGAGTAGTAAAAGAGATGAGCTGCTTTGTGATCGGGGTAGTAAGCTGCTGTATTGCAGTAGGAGGCTGAAGACTTTTTAGGTCCTGGAGACTCATTCAGCAGTTGTAGGCTATTGAATTGGGTATCCAGGGCTGTGAGCTGATCGTTTAGTTATCGAAAACCAACCATCAGACCCCTTAAGCCAGTCCTGAATTTCGTCATCAATCACCCTACACGAGTCTCAACTATAGTGCAAACCATTATGTTGGGCAACAGCAACCCCACTAGGCCAGTGTAACCCGTGCATTTAGAATGCACGACATTATCACATAGCCAACAAGGTATGATCGATTGACTTGCCGTAATTTGCTTTTGGCAAGCATTTCTGAACCAGACAATTTTATGATTCATTTTTATAGGATTGCTAGCGGGTATAACCCGGCCTTGCCCGTGGCACGTATGTTATATATGTTTTCCGCCAATTTACCACTGTTTCGGGTAGAATTTCCCAAATCGCTGAAGTACGTATTTATTAAGTTCTTATGTAGAGCTTTGAAAATAAGTTTGAAGCAAATCGGAGACAACTTAAAACTTCGCCCAAAAAATCTTTAAATCGCATTCCCCCCGAAGAAATTTGAATTCTGCGAAAAGTGTGATTTTTCTTATAGATCTCTGAAAATTAATTTGAGCGCGAAACGTCACCCACCAAATCATTGACCTCCATTTCCACCAAGGAGGAACGGATTTTCCTAAAAGTGTGAAACACCCCTCAAATGAATTTGAACAAAGATCATTGAAAATAAGTTTGAGGCCGATCGGATGGTAAACAAAAAAGTTACATACAAACGTTTTGCGCGATTTTTCCACACTTGCGGGTGGAATTTCCCGAAACCCCGTCTTAACGTGCATCTACATCACATAAGGTAACCACAGTGAAAATTACAGCTTCCTAGCTCTTACGGTTTGGGCTGTGCGTTGATCACCAATCAGTCAGTCAGTCAGTCAGTCAGTCAGTCAGTCAGTCAGTCAGTCAGGACAAACAGTTTTATATATAGAGATAACTTGATTTTCATGAGCTACTCCACAGCTCTGCTTTGCTTTTAAATATGCCTCCAAATACGATTACGAAACATTTTAACCTTTCCTGAGACACATTGTGAAAAACAAGGTTTTATGAGTTCAGTTATTGTCATTGGCGTACTTCAACCGATCTCTCCTCGCTAATAATTGTCTAACCTTAGCCTGATGCCGATCTTTGATCACAATGGAATATCTTATCGATGTAATAATAATCGAAAATTAAAATATAACCAAAATATAAATACATCGAACAATTCTCTGTTAGCTCAAAAAATTTCGAATATCTTTTTGGTAGGTGCAACTTTTTCAAACTAGTTTGAAAGCACTTTGTATTTTTTCATGCGATCGACTTTTAACCAAAACTCTTATATCTATGTAAACTATATTGTATTTATCATGGCCGAGAAATGGGTGAAAAAGTAATATCAATTACTGAATGAGGTGCGAATGAAGTATATCCTAATATAATTTGATGTCATGAAGATAAAATTGTTCAATGTCTTCGGGTTTAGGATTCTGCAAAATTTTCAACAAGTAACAAACATTTAACAGGTAACGATAGCTCCATGATCAACCAAAATATTTTCGATACGATTTTTATTATAGGTGGCACGATATTTTTAAGGTTTGAAAATCACACGATTTGTCTTTTGTAGCTGCTTTTATAATCAATATTAGTCTTGCCTTATTTTAAACAAAGGAGGCTATTCCGTCATCTTCTCCTGTATATAGTGTTAGGGTCGCCTCAATTTTATAAATTTTATAAATAATAATCAGACATCGAATCACTTTCTTCTGTATAATCAGGTTCCCCAGAGGCGTCACTATGCAATGTCAAAGAAAAAAGATAAGAGGGCAAATA